TCACCAAAGATTACTTTGAAAGATTAATGACAGACCTGAAAAATCTCAGGGTGGGAAATACAGCTCAAAATTGTCACTACAAATAATGCAGTCACCATATAGTATTAAAAGCTTTTAAATTTTAATATTTTCCTTTTTAACTGTGTTTTGAAGGATTGATTATTATGTGCACCACAGTAATGCCCCAAATCTTCCCTACTTCTTTTTTTTAGTGTAACTATGTATACATACAAAGTTTATTATTGGCTTTCTCACAGATTTTTAAAAATTTTTATTGTATTGTTCCCATTACCATTTAGTCCCCTTGCACTGCTCTTCCCCTGCAGTCACCGCACTGCTGTCCACGTGCAGTTCTCCTGGTTGCTCACTCCCTCTGCCCTCTAACATCCCCCCACTTAGCGGTCATAGCTCTCAGAGAACCTGCTCTCTGAGTCTGTCTCTATTTTGCTTGTTATTTCAGTTTGTTCATTAGATCCCACATATGAGTAAACTATGGTATTTGTCTTTCTCTGACTGGCTTTTTTCACTTAGCATAATGTTCTCCAGCTCCATCCATACTGCCGCAAAGGGTAAAACTCTCTTTTTTAGGGCCAAGTACTATAGAAAGCAGTATGGAGATACCTCAAAAAATTAAAAATGGATCTGCCTTTTGGCTCATAAGTCTCACTTCTGGGAATATTCTGAAGGAACCCAAAACACTAATTTGAAAGAACTTAAGCACTCCTATGTTCATTGCAGCATTATTTACAATAGCCAGGATATGGAAGCAGCCCAAGTGTCAATCCAAACGCATGGATAAAACAACCATGAGATAGTTACACAATGGAGTACCTCCCTAATTCTTGAAAAAGAAATTACAGTCCTTATCCAAAATAAACTATAACTAATGTCAAGAAACACCACTGTGTAGCTCAATACCCAAAGATCTATTTATGCTCACTTTGCAGAATTGGATACAGGTTATCTAAAGGAAAGGAACATTCCAATAATTATAGTTCTTAAATTAATTCTCGCTAAGAATAATGAGAGGGCCCTACCTGACCAGTGTGGCTCAGGGGGCTGGGCATCATCCGGCAAAGCAAAAGGTAGCCAGTTCAATTCCCAGTCAGAGCACAAGCCTAGGTTGCAGGTTTGGGTCCTGGTCGGGCACATAGGAGAGGCAACCAATTGATGATGTTTGTTTCTCACATGGATGTTTCTCTTCCTCTCTTGTGACCTCCCTCCCTCCCTTAAAAAAAAAAAAAAGAAGGGATAAAAAGGCAATTGCAAAACTAACTGCAATGAGAGATCAAGCAATAAACACAGATGAGCAAAATAGTTTTTTTCTGTTAAAAACAAAAGTCAAAATTAGTGACACTTTAAACAGTCACAACTCTTTCTTAAAAACAGAAAAGTAAGATATGCACTGGCTGGTGTGACTCAGTGGCTTGAGTGCTGGCCTATGAACTGAAAGGTCCCTAGTTTGAGTACCAGGCAGGCAGGGCACATGACTGCAGGCCAGGTCCCCAGTTAGGGGCATGCAAGAGGAAACTGATTGATACATCTCTCTCTACCTCTCTTTCTCCCTCCCTTCCCCCTCTCTCTAAAAAGTACATAAATAGAAGCTTTTAAGAAATAGAAAAATAAAAAATTCTAACTTCCCCTTACCCATGCCCCATGCAAGTGTTAGAACAAGGGGAAAACAAGTATCATCTGGTTGATCCAACCCTCTTATTTGACAGATGGAGATGTTGAGTGGCAAGAGAGAATTAATGGACTTGCTTAAGTCCCACAAGTTAGTCCCACAAGTTAGTGACCATCAGAGCTAAAACCCAAGACTTCTGGTCTGCATTCTTTCCATTACTCCATATTCCAGTGCTATTGAATGAGCTGGATAAATCACAATACCAGTATTGTGTATTGAAGTATTTTATTGGGTTGTAAACTTTCTCCTACTTGTTTCCTTTGGCATCCAACCTCCTATATATTATTTTTTAAGTCTGTTTTAAATATTCAGTTTGTTCCTACTCCTTTGCCCTTGATGGTTGGTGATCTATTTATGCTCACTTCACAGAAGTGTTTGCGGCTCCATCACTGGATGTCCCCATGGCTATAGCTAGGAGCTCAGAATGACCACAGTCTTCCTCCGAGTAGATCTGTGTGTTCCAGGCACAGGGCCTCATCCTTTTACACCATCCTCCCAGCACCACATGGCTTGTGCTTCCAAATGGGGTCAAAGAGACCAGCCATGCAAGGGTACGTCTCTGCTGTTTTTAAGAAATCTTACACAGGAAATACTTCTAAAGTGTTATTGAAACAGTGAATTGTTAACAAAAAACAAAGCAAGTCTGCTTTGTTTGGCCAAGAAGATAATTGTTTTTCAAAGAATCTATGTGTGAATCAGCTAATCCCTGGCCAAGCAAACCATTATAACAATAACTGGTAACTGTTAGCTAGCACTCACTGTGCGAGAGGCATTTCAGGCATTTTTGATCCTCATGACAATCTCATGTTATAAGTATTACCTCCATTATACAATGTGGGCTCAAAAAGGTTAATTAACTTTCCCACAGTCCTATAACTAAAAAGTTGCATAATAGATTTGAACCTAGGGCAGATTCACTCCAAAGTATTTATTTCTTCACCCCTACATCATTTCTCAGGCCCTGGCGCTTTTTCCTTTCTCCCACCACCACATAGGCTTTCTTAGCAACTCTCAGCCACCTTCTCAAATTGTGAGTCTCACCATTTTGACCAAGGGCTCTCTGGGCTCTCATGTGTAGAGCTAACAGCACAATTGCCTGAAAAGATAAGTCAAAACACATGCATGTGACTTACAAGTATATAACTTGGTAATTATTCCCCCACAGATTTAGCACTGGCTCCAGAATTTTGACCAGGAATGGAGCTGATACAAAGACCTTAAGTAGCTAGTCAAGGTCATGGTAAACCCAGGGACTCACCAAACCTGCCCCCTAGACTAAATATATAAGTAATGTTCAATAGTCTCTTCTCATTCCTGCCTTTGCCATGTGGAATTCAAATGTTTCACCCTCATCATTTCATTCCTCGTCTGACAGATGTACATAGCCAATGTGATCTTGAACAGCCTGGGTCCACCTGCCTAGTATGGTGGCTGGAACCCAGGAAGCATTCAGTAAATATTGCTTTGAATGAATAATTGAATTAATGAATTTTTGCCCTCTTCAGTAACAATAATAAATATCTGACACTATGTATGTCAGGGTCTCTATGCTAAATTCTTTATATGCATTGTCTTATTATATATTCATACAACTCTATAGGTAGGTTGGGATGATGAGGGTGGGTCTCTTATAAGGTCACTAATCCCATTACCTCCAAAAGGCTCCACCTCCTAATCTTATAATACTGTGGCTTAGAAAGGTTAAGTAACTTGTTCAAGGTCACATAGAGAGCAACCATTCTAGAATCAAAACCAGATTTGATTTCAGACTCTGTTTTCTTAATCACTATATTCTACAACTTCCCTTCTATTTTTATTAATAATTATGATCACTGCTTCTATGTATTTAGCACTTACCATGTCCCAAACACAATGCTAAGTATTTCACAGATTAGATTTATTTACTGCCCCAAACAACTCATTTATGTTCACTAGTATGTATCATTTCCTCCCTTTCCCATTACGATGTGAACTTGGATAATTTACTAAGAGTAATCATAATTTGCAGGGTTTATGTGACAATTCTAGAGACTTATGTAAGTCATCAAACATACTGCCTGTGTATGTATGTATATCCTGTAAATAAAAATGCACGATCCCATCCTGAAATCCCCTTTGCATGAATTCAATTTATTAAAAATTACTTGGATACAGGAACAAATATAAAGGACACATGGACAAAAACTAGGGGGAGTGGACATGGGAGGCAGGTGCGGAGGGATGGGTGGGTGCGCAGTAATGGGAGTAAAAGGCAGAAAGCTGTACTTGAACAATGACTAAAATAAAATAAAATAAATTACTTGGAAAAGCAATTAATTGGCAAGGCAGTATCGTGGGCAAAGCTAGCATACACTGGGCTCAAAGAGGTTAACAAGATCTGAACAAAATGCTCCGGATCTCTTCTAACCTGAGCTAGCTGGAAGCAGCCCTCATACTGAATTAACACATGTAAGTTTCAAAAGGAAGGAAAAAAAGGGTCTCAGATGGGCCCAACCTAGGAAAGCTGGATGTGGTCAGGGTGCCTCCAGAGTACGGTTCCAACAGCCCAGTTGTGTTCAGGAATGTATTTTCCCAATCAAAAATCAGCACTCTGGGACTCCTGCATCAAAAAAGCAGGGACTGATGGCCTGGCAGGGAACAGGGACTAGGACCTATAGGCCTCAAGTGGGTGGTGATTGCTTGAAAATAGAGGTATAAGATACATACAATCTTATAGGTAATCATTAATGTATACTAGATGATTTTTACATAGTGATACACCCCTGTAACCCCACCCAGATCAAGATGTGGAATATTTCCAGCCACCCCATAAAGTTCCCATACCCAGAGTGATTTATAATCAACAAAGATAAATCACTTGAAATCAGAAAAGAAAACCAGAAAGCAAGTTAAGAAACTTTGAAAGCTGGGCATGGAAAGGCCCAGTTTGGGAGAGGGTATTAAGTAAAAATTAGACAAACCCGACTTTTATCTTCTCTTAGTTGTGGATGTAGAGTGCTGTGAATTCAGTCATTGCGTCCCTGGATCCTCGCAATGACTCTGCAATATAGTAAAGATTTAGTCCTCTTTTGCACGTGAGGAAATAGAAACCTGTTCAGAATTTCTGAGGTAATCATCCCCACCCCAAGCAGGAGAGGAAAAGAACTGCATCTCTTGAATTTGACAAGCGGATCCAGCCACGTGGCAGAAGGAACTCGGGTGGGGGAGGCCTGGAGTCAGGTTACCAAGCTGTGTCGCTCCAGCCCGCTCATTGGCGGGCGTTCCAGGCCCCAGGTATAAAGGCTCAGGCCGACTGTCCTTGTACTTTAGTACTGAACCCGGCCGCCGCGCGCCCTTTGAATTTCCCAGAGGCTGCAGGCAGAACGGTGCGAGACTCATCGGACGCTGGACCTCAGGTACATAACATGGGACCCAAAACCTTGCTTAACTCCCCTGTGATTCATTTGAGGCTCTTTGCACCTAAAAGGGGAAGCCAAGCTGAACGTCCTAGAGAGGGTAATTATTTTAATTCTCTCTGAAGACTAGTGCAATAATCCAAGGATTCAGGAAACAATTGCACAAGCAAAGCACCTCTTGGCAACGAGGACAGCAGGAGGCCAACATTTTGAGAATCTCCGCTTTAGGTCAGTTAGGATAGATCGAGATTAAAGCAATAAGCTCCTTAGTGTACAAGACTACGGAATGGAGACAGAATAAAAGAAAAAAAGGTTGTTTTTCAGTTACCAAAACATAGTTTGCAATAGCAACGGGGTTAGTGGCGGGGGGGGGGGCGGGGGGACTCAGTTTACCTAGTCCCGAGGGAGGCAGGAGAAGGCACCCCAAAAGTAGAAGAAAAGAGAAAGGAATTGCTGTGCCCTGGGAGTGGGGCTCATTCTGACAACCCTTGTGCGCTTGTACGTCTCAGGCAGATCAGCTCCAGCAGAGAGTCGCCCAGATCTAGCACCTGCCTCTTGATGTCGTGCCTGGAGCGGCTCCGTTTGGGCCCCCAGCGCCTCCTGCGGGGCGGAAACTGGCGTCTCCAGGGTCGGGCCGGCGGAACCACTGCCAACACGCCCGTCAAGTGCGCAAACGTCCTCACCCCAGACAGCATTCCTGAGTTCTGCATACCCCCGAGACTCGCTCCCTGCCCCGCCCTGGCTGCAGTCCGAAACTCCTGGGTGAAAATAGCAGGGACGGACGACGGCGCCGGGCACACGGACTGGGACCCGCGCTCGCAGGCCGCGCTCTCGCTGCCTCACCTGCCCCGCACCCGCTCTGCCTACGGCTTCTGCGCGTTGCTGGAGAGCCCGCACACCCGCCGCAAGGAGTCGCTCTTCCTTGGGGACCCGGGAGCCGGAGTGCTCCTGCTGCTGCCCGCCGCCCCTCCCGCGCCCCGCCCCCGGGCCCACACCCACCACTGCAGCGGAGGAGGAGACGCCCCCCTCCAGCCCTGTGGTCGAGCCCCAGACACCACCCGTGCGGCTCCCGGCTGTCCCCGCCCGTCCCGTAGTACGCGTGCTCGACGTCCACTTGGCCACCGCCTCCTGCGCGCCTCCGAAAGAGTGCTCAACAGTGCGCTGAAGACCTCGAGGAGTCACGAGCAGGCCTGCGTCTGCTCTTTGTCCAGGGGGCACGAGGCTGAGAATAAGAAGCGCGGCGCCGACTCGGGGTCGCCGGCCTGGACCCTCTCCGAGGCCCCTCCATTGTCTCCCAGCCCGCGGTCGGAGCTCCTAGAAGCCGAGGGCACCGTGGCTCTGGGTCGTGCTGGCAGCGCTCTGAGCCTGGCTGCCGAGTACAGTCCGGCCAGCGGGCGCCTCCGCCTCCGCCTGCTCGGACCAGTGGGCCCGGCAGGAGGAGCCGCCGAGCCCCGCGCCGTAGCTGTCGGCTGCCGCGTCAGCCTGGTCCTGCAGCCACCCGGCAGGACTCGCCAGCAGCGCAACTCCTTGAGGCGCGGAAGCCGCAAGGCCGTCTTCGCCTAGGACTTCTGCTTCAAGGGACTCTCGGAGAATTGCGCCGTCTGGCGGTGTGTGCGAAGGCTGAGAAGAAGGGCAGTGGCCAGGGCGAGTTGCTGCTGGGCTCCCTCCTGCTGCCCTGAGGGCGCCCAGGCCTGAGGCCCTGCCCGCAGGGTGCTTTCTGCCTGCTGGGTACTCTCGGACACTGACAGCCGCTTTTTTCAAAATAAATGTCATTTATTCTTCTACGGAAGCCTTCAAGTGTAATATAGGCCGAGATTATACTGCATTAATTATCACTGAAAAGGATGTTACATTTTGTGTAGATACATTCAGAATTCTTTTTAACAAATGGTATGGTGTTCTGCAGTAGGGTTTTTAAATGCAGATAGCTGATTAATTGCATTTCATTTGTTCCCTACAGTCATATTGGGAGATACATGAGATCTTAAAACCAGAGGGTTTCTTGATGGTCTGCTTCGATCTCTTCCCTATGCCATTTGCTCATTCCACAACATCCCCTGAAACCATCTTAGAGAACTTACTAATTTTGAAGCATTGTTTAAGACCCTAGATAAGAACTTGAGGCCAAGAGAGGTGAAGTGACTTCTCCAAGTTCAACAGAGAATTAGTTGGAATTCTAAGCTGATACTCTTAGCAACATCGTGTTAGAACAGCATTGGAGGAATTAAAACCATTTTCGTATTCTAAGCTTAAATAACATAATAGTTTACAAGTGTTAGCTTGTAATTCTTAAAAGCCCCCTTAAGAATTAGGCATTGCAAAAAAAAAAAAAAAAAAGAAGAAGAAGTAAGAAGTAGGCATGACAATCTTCTAGGATGAGGGATTGAGGCACCAAATGAACAGCAGAGTCAGGATCTGCACCTGCTCAATCAGTATTGTACTGGTCGCTGTCTGTAAGTAATACTGCAGTGTCTCAAGGGCTCACCTCACTAGTGTTGTGAGAATGCAGCTTATATCTAACATTGCGAATGCTCATGTTGGGGTCTCCTCGCATTCCTCACCCTCCGATATACAAGCAAGTCAGTCAAATGAGTAATTCATCTCATGATAATGACTTCACACATTGAGATGAGCTGAGTCTAATATTCTGAAGAGAAAACTACTTGGCCTCCAAAGGGAAAAGGGTGCAGTCTTATTGGCACCACGTATGCTAACATGTCAGGGCAAGAAGTCAAGAGTGTACCCACAACAGTGTTCTACTTCTGGCTTTTGATAATAATAATAGGTTTAGTTTGTTTTGAAGGATGATTTTCCTTCACATTCACTGCCAGACAGGCATATTTTTTCCTTTCTTAGGCATATAGGAGGAAAAATGTCCTAAGTAAAATATTTAAATGTGTGGTGTGGTGTTAAATATATGGTGTATGACTACATTATCAGACTTGGTGCAGAAATAGTTTCTGCTTTCATTAAACTGTTTACAGTTTTATCCATTGGTGCTCGTGAAAAATGCTATTTAGAGAATATCCATTGTAGTCACAACTCAGGTACAGACTGACAATGGGTTATTGTGCTGGGTATCACAATACATGTGAAGAGTAACTGTGAATTCGTTGACCGTCAAAATCAGCCACATCCAGAAGCTAGGAGGGGTTGACCAAATGAGTGGTGGCATAGCAGCTGTTGAGACCTGTCACATGCTCCTCTGTCCGCGAAGTCACCATTTTCAGGGGTCTTCAAGGCAACAATTATTTTTTAAAATCATTAACCTTCCTGATTTTAGAACTTTAGTTGAGTAAGTAATACTGACTCCACACATATAATACTTTAAAAGGGAGATAAATGGAGAGTGAAAACCACTTGGCTATATATAAGATGATTCTTAGGTTTTATTTTTCTGCAAATAAGATACTTTGGTGGCTTAATTAGTAAAATCATACTTCAGAAAACATTACAATCACTATTGTCACTAGATTACATACAAATAATACTTTGGGGACAGAAGTGTGGTGTCATTAAGAAGGTAAATCAGTGCATTTCAGGGACCTAAATTTTCCATGAAATAACAGTGGGTATTTCCAAACAGATTTCCGCTTACATCATCAAGTTATGGTTGGTCAAATAATGTAAAAGCCTAAACAATGTAATTAAAAAATGACTAAAATAGAATCATAAACAATAAAACAGTGGAATTTTAAAGTGGAAAAAAACAGTAAGAATCATTCTGTGCAAATCTATGCACCAAAGAAAAGGGCCAGAGATGCAAATTGTACCTCAAATCACAATTAGTAAAAGAGCTGGGACTCTAACCAATTCTATTTTCATTTTGCTTTTCAATCTTGGATCACTAGTTTCATAATAAAAGGAGAAACATTTGTACATACATTATTTTATATCACTGAACTAATCTGAATTTTTTGCATTTAAGAAATCTTTGCAGTATAAATTTTTTGTGTGTGATAACAGCAGTCTGGGGGGGGCAGACATATTTATATTTGGTTTGTGCTTTTCTGCCCTCTAGTGGATTCCTCATGTGTTTTGTAAGTGGGTCTGTTTCCTGAGTATTAGACCATCTCCACTGAATATTAAGACCAATCTAATACCAGAACCCAATAACCTTGAAGATGTGTGCCAGCATCAGATTGTAGTGAAGATTTACATCATAAAATAACTAAATACAGCCACTTCAGTGTAGACGGTGCCAAAAACATTTGTATTAAAAAAGAAAATAGAAGAAAAACTTTTCCCGGCAGTAATGAAGCTGGGAGGGTGTGGCAACGGCATGTAGTTTGCAGGAAACTCTGTTAAGAGTTGTCATGTTTCTCATTGGGCTTTAGACATGTGCATCTCCTCCACAAATGAGAGGGCACAGAATTGCCTCTTGAATATGAGCATATGCAAAGAAAAACAGTCTGGCAACATACCAGTTTTAAAAGCATTACTTAAGTATGAATTAAAAAAATAAAGTCAACAGCTTTGGCATTTGGTTTTGCAAAGATAATGCATTCTACACCTAAAATGTTAGTTTTAATGTGGCTCAAACATGGCTAGAAGATTACTTCTTTAGAATCTAATTTTCTTTTACACACACTTCAACAGGTAATAAACATTTTCCCCAGGACTTAGGTCAAAATACTATTTTTGGTAAAGATGCTTAAAGATGTTAAAAGACAAAGCAAAAAGTGGGTACCAAGGGGTCTCTATAATGTTAAAGCAATAATATATGATATGTGGGTACAATATAATCTGATATGAGCACACATCTTTAAGATCATTGAGTTCTGGCATTAGATATGCCTACATGTAGATTTTTTGTTATTTATGCTCCTTGGTGGTCTCTTAGTTTCCTATATCTGTTCTTTGGTAATCAACTCTTTCATTTATTCCATTCTTTCTTCTCCTCCTGGTTTTCCAATTACTGACAAGCTATACCTGTTGAAATTATCTCACAGTTCTTGGGTGTTCTGTTCTGGGTGGGTTTCTTCATTATTTTTTCTCCTTACATTTCAATTTGCAAAGTTTCTATGGACATATCATAATTCTCACTGATTCTTTCTTTGCCTGTATCCAGTCTATTGGTGAACCCATCAGAATCTTCCTGCGTTTCTGATAAAGGATTTCAATTCTAACATTTCCTTTTGATTTCTTCCCCATCTCTCCATTTATATTACCAACCTGCTCTTGCATGTTTTCTACTTTTCCACTGGAGCCCTTAACATATTAATCATAGTTATTATAAATTCCCTGTTTATCATTTCAAAATCTCTATCATATCTGAGTCTGGTTCTAAATCTTTGTTTTGTCTCTTCAGACTACTTTCTCCTGCCTTTTAGCATGCCTTATAATGTTTTATTGAAAGTTGGACATGAAATACTGGATAATAGTAACTGAGATAAATAGGCATTCAGTGTCAGAGTTTATATTTATCTGGCAGAGTTTGCTGTAGCCATGGGTGTCGGAGGCTTCAATTTCCTGTAGTGCCTTGTTTTTGTCCTATCTGTATCTTTGGGTTTCCATAAGAATACCTTCTTAAACAAAGTATCTGTCTTGCAGCTTTCCCAGTCTTTATCCACTGACATGATATCAGAGCCCTGCTGGTACGGTGGTAGACACTGGGGAGGGGAGGCAGTCTACAATCCTGTGATTAGATCTCAGTCTTTCCATGGGCCTTTGTCCCTGGGCTGTGACCTTCACTTTTTTTTTTTTTTTTACTTTTTCTTCTTTAGTCGAGATGGGAAGAATAAATGGGTTAGCACTGGGTTGCCCTTCTCCCCAAGTCAACAAGGTTTGGGTACAATATTTTTCCCTATAAAGTAGTTTTTTGTTACAGAGAATGCACTAAGAGTATTTCAAAATGATCACTACTAAGGTTTTTGCTAGCTCTTCACCATGAGAACCTGGTGGAGTTCTTGGAGATAAAACCCATAAAAAGTATGCTACCCACCCCATCCACAATGTCTATGAAATGGCTTTAAAGTGCAATAAGAGTCACTGAGTTTCTTTCCCCAAACCATTTATTTTGTCATTTAAAACCAATACAAAGAGAAAAAACACATGGACATGAACAATATTGTGGTGATTGAGAGGGGAAGTAGGGTGGAGGTGGAGGGGGGTATGGGGGGAATACATAGTAATGAAAAAATACAATAGAAGTGATGTAAAAATAAAAAAATAAAATTACAAAAAAATAAAACCGATGCATATAAAAGAGATCTATCTTGGCACAGGATCAAATTTTGTGAGTCTGTTAAAGGATATAACAATTGTATCATTAGAGAAAAGTCTGAATGGAGATGGGGCTTGCGGACACCTGCTTTTTCTCCCGCTAGGCTAATGAAGATCACCTATGGTAAGGAGCCCACAGTCCCTCCTTTCCTTCCTGTATCACCCTGCAGCTGGTGAGCATAAATGTGAGCTCTTTAGGGACATCAGAGCTAGAACACTGCAGCAGAGCCAGTTTCTATCAGTCATTAATCAGAAAGCCACTTCATCTGCAAACCTGGCATTGAATAATGGGCCCTGGGTACTGTCTCACAACTCTACTAGTGTTGGTTGTTAGTAAATTCATGTTTTAAGAAGCATTTATATTCCAACTTGGAGAGATGTGTGTTCCAGATCTCAGTTGTTATTTCTAGCTGTGTCTCTGGGTCTTATTAAATAGTCTGTTTAAATGTCTTTTTTCCATTAGTAGAGAGGCAGTAATATTACCTACAGCATGGGATTTTTGTGAGAATTAAAGGAGATAATGTATTCAAAGTCGTCAGCACAATCCCTATTATGTAGAACCAGTCAATAAATTTTAGTTCTATTTTTGGCTTCTTCATAATGGATGTTAATAGATGATATTACTGGACTCCCCCTCTGAGCTTCTAGACTGTCGATAGGTGCATAACCTGTAGCTGTAGTCCTATATCTAAGAGATTTAGAGGGTAAGATATACTTCAGTGGATCATCTGAAAAACATTACAAAGTACGTGTTAAGTGTACAAACACTTGTGTTACAAATGACAGTGCTATAGACAAGGACTCGTAAAAAGATGGAATTGGGAAGTGAGAAAGGTTCTGACATTAATGTCTTACTAATTTCAACACTATGCTAGAGACACACTAAGTATTAAATCATCTTATTCCACAGCTATGTGAGGAAGGACTTCATAAGTAAATACTGATGCTTAGAGAAGGCACGTGGTCCCACAGCTGGGAAAGAGGAAGATGATTATTTGGAACCATGGGCATAAGACCACAAAGCCTCTGCTAGATCTTGGGTTCCCAAGAGGTGGACTGGATTTGGTTCTCAAGAGAAAAGAGAGAATGGTGGACTTGGACAAAGGACTGTATTGGATCCAAGATACATAAAATGTGTTCTGGAAACACTGCTTCTTTGGTTCCCAGCAGCTCCTGGGAGTATCTTTGGTGATCATATTGCCACCTGCTGGTAACTTTGACTTGCTGACTTCTTAGCCCAGAGAACTAAAATACAGGTACCATTGTGCCTTGAAACAATTAGAAGACAGCAGCTCATCCTTTGTCAACAGTTATGATTTATTCACTCATAATATCACATGGTTCTTGAATAACACTATTTCCCCATCTTTTAAATATATTTTATGGCATGATTAATTATATAATGAACAGCAGGTGAGACATATGAGCTTTTCTGAAGAGTGGATAAATCAAAGCCGTATGACTAGTTTTCAATCAGGACAGATATATTACTTTTTCTTTTATATAACACATCTCTAAGCCTGAGACTTTCTTTACTGGACCACATCCCTAAAATCTGACAAATGTTTACCATATTCAAACATTTAAAGCACTTCCAATATCCACTTAAATAAAGTAGAAAGTTCATGAAGGATAACAGAATTTAAAACAAGTCAACTTTCAAAAACATTGCTCAGTATTCTCCTTTTATAGATGAAAAAAGTGAGATCAGAGAGCGAAAGGGTGTTCCCGGATGACATTGGCGGTTAGTGGCACTTCTTTGCTCCCCAGCTGGGGCGCCTTCTGCTTTCATTTGCCATAATACTAACTACACTGGTGGACAGTTCATTTTTTGTATTATTAAAGAACATTTTGAAAAATTATCACCACCAAAACACAGCCATTCCCCTGCCACTTTGATTTAAATTATTTTTTGTCATTGTCCACTACTTACTTTCCAACCATTGTTTAGAAGTATACCTGTATTTACCTGGTTCCAAGAATAGTATATATACATACGGACTTTTTTCTACTTTTTTAACGATTTTAATTTAAGAGTTGCTCATGTTTCTACTAGTCTTTGGTATCATTGTCCTTGAAGTATGTATATAATAATGTGTATATTCCCCTATTTTAGGGGTTTTTCACTCTTCCTGATTTATTTATTTTTCTTCTTTCGACTTTTTCCCTAAGAATCAATTCTAAGTGATAAGATCACAGGACCAAAAGCTATGAACATTGCTGCAGCTCCTAATACATATTGACAAACTACCTTTTCTGGCTGGCTGTATTTTCTTTTCCCGAAGTGAAATGGAGAAAGGAAGGGCTGTGGGGGAAGGGAAAGAAAATTTCTAATTATAATGCTTGTGTTTAAAGAACTGAACCTGTTTATAGAGGGAACAGTTTTCCCAGGGATAACATAGCAAGTGAAAAGGAATGAGGGTGGCTTGGTTGCTATGGTAAGTAAAACTATTATTGTTATGTATTAATGGGTATTAGAAACTCTTTTTAAAAAGGATTTTCTGGTCTGTGTTGCTATTGTGCAAGGACCTCCCCTCTCTCTCACGTCAGGGTCTGATTTACACAACAGCCTTCAGAGAACAAAGATGCTGTTTATGTTGGGGGTTTAAAAACCTACTTCCTTTAATTACTGTTTTATTAAGTGCCCACTTAAGTGCCTGGGG